TAAAATTATTTTCATTGCTACTTCATAACTGTAATTTTCCTACTGTTATGAATCGTCATATAAGTATCTGATATACAGGATGTATTTTCACTGTATCAAACTGAACATAATTAAAGCATAGTGATTAATCACAAAAACAAAATGTAATTATATATTGTGAAATGTTTATTTCTAATTACAAATAAATTAAATTTTGTCTTGAAGCATGGTGTAGCATGGCTAACAGTCTTCACGTGGGGAACTCGTATGTGGCCGTATCTGCATGTGGGCAGACCCGCCTGGAGACGGATAGAGAAGGGGTGTCTCGGTTCCTAAGACTATTGGAAATATGTATTTTCCGATGGTCTTAGGTGACCCGTGAAAGGGTTGTTCAACCCCCCAAAAGGGTCGCAACCCACAGGTGGAGAACCGCTGGCTTAGGAATCATCAACCACATGTGATCAAAAGAGCAGCATTGCCCCAAGGACAAAGTTCAGAAGGGTTAGGCAAGGAGAAGAAATGGAAACAGGGAACACAGGGAGAAAGTGGGTACATGACGGTACATTGTAGGGATTGCAATGGATGAGATGAAACAAACTGTGCATGGAATTGTTACATGGAAAACTTACCAACTCTATAAACCGTCATCAATTCACAGTTTAATCTGCCCTGCCCCACCCCCCCAAAAAAAGGTTACTGTATTAATGGAAAAGCTAAGGTGCAGGGCACATCAGCTTCACACAGGACCAGAACATATATTTTCTCTTAACTCAGTAGGGCAAAAGGAGTCCTTGTGTTGTAGTGGGTTAGCCAGCTAACCACAAGGTTGGCAGTCCACACCCACCAGCCGCTGTGTCGGAGAAAGACGCAGCTGGCTGCTCCCATGGTCCCAAGGAGCAGTTCTACTCTGTCCTACAGGCTTGATAAGAGCTGGAATCAATTAGATGGATGGCAATGGGGTTTTTGTTTCTTTGAACTCATTAGGGCAATAAAATGGTAGTAATATGATTAAGTAAGATAATAATTTGCCAGGACAGAGAATTGATGCTCAAAGCAATCGCCTTTAATGTATCCTCTTTCATTGGCAACACTGGTAAATTCACAATAATCTCTGTAGCCTCATTTTTTAAATAACACACAAGTTACAATATTCATTTCTTCCTCACCTCAAATAACATAAAATGTCTATTTTCCATCAATTGTCATTGAAAGTAGTTGTGTTCAGTAGCAATGCGAGTTAGTCTTTGGATTTTTATTTCTTAAGGTAAATTTACAATAGCTATAAGCAACTGCAACAAATTCTGACACCATGAGAGGGTATATTTACATACACTGCATTCATATAAAAACCTCTAGTCTTCTGTGTATTTACACACACACACACACACACACACACACACAATTTAAGGAATTAGTGTACCAGAGTCATCTAAGAAAGATAGTTTCTCACTTTGCAGAAAGACGATCAGGTTACACAAACCAGAGTCCAAACCAAAATCAAACTAACTGCCATGGATTCAATTCTGACTGATAGTGACCCTCTAAGACAGGGTACAACTGCCTGCTGTGGGATTCCAGGGCTGTAACTCTGTACAGGAACAGGAAAGCCTCATCTTTCTCCCGTGGTTTCAAGCTGTGGACCCTGTGGTTAGTAGCCCAATTCATAACCATTACGTCACCACGCCTCCTACAAACCAGAGCCACTGACTTATTATTGCTCTTTTATAATTCTGAAAACCAAAAACCCATTGCCATTGAGAAAATTCCATTAAAAGTCCGGCCGATTGCATGAAACACCTCACCTCGTGGGAGGAGCTGGAAGGAATCCTGCTAAGCGAGGTAAGCCAAAAGCAAAAGGGCAGGTATAACATGAGTCCCCTGAGGTAAGTACAATCAGCATAACGGGAGTGGAGCAGTGGGCACCTGTCTCGCGGTGGATGGGTGAATACATGAGAGTCATAACCACCTATATAATAATTAGCAAATTGAAAATTAAGGATTTTTTTTAATGAGAGAAAATATTAAGGACTTTTCATTCTCTCTTATAAAAAGTTCTCACATGGATATTTGCTTAGTGGGTATAGGTAGGCAAGACTAAGTTCCTCAGACCCATTTTTCCACCTGCTAACTATCTACTAACATATTATGGTATAGTGGCTTATGAGTTAGGTTGCTAACTATAAGGCACTCGGTTCAAACTCACCAGCCATTCTACAGGAGACAGATGAGGCTTTCTGCTCCCGCAAAGATTTATATACCCAGAGGGGCAGTTCTGTTCTGTTTTAGAGCGTCACTATGAATTGGACGACTCAATGACAGTGAGTAATTTTTTTTTTTTAACATTTTATTAGGGGCTCATACAACTGTTATCCCAATCCATACACACATCAATTGTGTAAAGCGCATTTGTACATCGTTTCTCAAAACATTTTCTCTCCATTTAAACCCCCGACATTAGGTCCTCATTTTTCCCCTCCCTCCCCGCTCCCCCCTCCCGCATGAGCCCTTGATAGTTTACAAATGGGTATTTTGTCATATCTTGCCCTGTCCGACTTCTCCCTTCATCCACTTTTCGGTTGTCCATCCCCCAGGGAGGAGGCCATACACAGTTCCATGCAATTGGTTCCCTCTTTCCTACCCACTCTCCCTCCACCCTCCCTGTTTTGCCACTCACACCACTGGTCCTATAGGGCTCATCCATCCTGGATTCCCTGTATTTTCAGTTCCTATCTGTACCAGTGTACCTCCTCTGGTCTAGCCAGTCTTGCAAGATAGAATTCGAGTCATGGTAGTGGGAGCAGGGAGGAAACCTTTAGGAACTAGAGGAAGGTTGTATTTCTCATCATTGTTACATGACAGTGAGTAATTTTTATAATTATTTTTTAACTATTGCTGATTTCAACAATTGTCTAAAGTACAAAGTATATTATTTAACATTTCTAAATATTAAAACAGCTTTTCTGAAATACTAAATAAGAGAAATACTAAATGAACTACAATGAGATATTTCTCAATGATAAATTAACAAAAATGAAAAATGTTTGGCAAATGCTTCATTGGTGAAGTTCTGAGGAGACAGGCATTCCCACATTTACGTCACTGGTTAAAATGCAAAATGATTTAATTCCTTTGACAGGCTAGCGAGCAGTACCTAACAAAACCATCAATATATTGACCCTTTAATCTAGCCATCTATCTTCTTAGAATTCATCTTATCAATATACCTATGCAGCAAGGAGAGTGCTATGTTAATCACGAGACTACCGTTTGGAGATGTGACCCCCTTGAAGAGAATCAGCACCTGGAGGCAAATACTTATATGAATATTCACTCATATTCACTTATATTTGAAGCCACGGTTTCTCTCTGCCTTTGGATGGATATTGACATGTGTATATTCTCGATTCTCTTTAGGCGTTTTGTTTGCTAACCTTTCTTCATCCCCTGCCTACATAAATGCATACTTTTAACTTTATTGCTTTCTTCAAACACACACACACACACACACACACACACGGACACACTCAAAGCCATATGTGATTTGACTATAAGGGCAAGAGATAGAGGAGAAGAAGACAAGACTAAGAACATGACTATATACCTTGTTATATAGTTTAGTGTTTGAAGTCAATTGAATATAATATCTAGTCCCCCAAAGTACATTTAACTTAAAAATAAAATATTCACATTATATATTTTAAAAGAATAGAGAATCACATGCATACTACAATCACAGCTAAACAAAATACTATGCATACAGCAAAGAGTAAAAGGAAAAGTCTAGCAACTGTCTTGAGGCGGTAGGACTACATACCATTTTTTTCCTTCCCTTCATTTTCCGATTCATAAAGTATGAGGGGTAGTCAAGAAGTACAAGAAAATCCCAGAAACCTTTCTTAAACACAAGTAACAAAATTTGAAGCTGTTGTTCCTCAGCATATCCTCCACCTGACTATAACACTTCTGAAGGCAGTGTTTCTGTTTCCCTAACGCTCTCCCCCAGGCCGCCCCACTCCGCCCCCCACCAAAATTCTGCACTCTTCAATTTACACTACACCACAATGGTAGTTTTGGCTTCTCTGAAGGTCTCAAATCATATTCCTTTTAAATGCTCTTTGAGTTTGGAGAAGTCTAGAGGGCTGTAGGGTGGATGGGGTTAAGGTTTCCCAAGGAAATTCTCATAGGATAGCACTTATTACCATCAAAGAATGAACGGGTGCATTATCAAGATTGAAAAAAATGTCTTGGTACAACTTTCCAGGCCTTTTTCTTAGCAATGAAATGTTCAGTTTCCTGGAAAATATTTTTTTAATAAGCCCCTAAGGCCAGAGTTTTCCTTAGAGGCAAGGATGGCAAGACTTTGTCTTACATTACTTTGGTGTCAGTAGAGACCAGTCCCTGGAGAAGGACATCTTATTGGTAAAGTGAAGGGGCAGCAAAAAAAAGAAGATAACCCTTGACAAGATGGGTTGACACAGTAGCTACAACAGACTCAAGCATGGGAACAATTATGAGGTTGGCGCAGGACCGGACAGTGTTTTGTTCTGTTGTGCATAGGGTCACTATGGGTCGGAGCTAACTGGATGGCACCTAGCAACAAGTCCCTGTGATTCTCCAGTGTCCTTTGAGAAAAATCGATCAAGATGACCCCTTTGGAATCCCAAAACACAGCCTCCATCACTTCTGACCTGACACTCTACTTTTAATTTCATTGGCCCAGCAGATCCCCTCAGAAATCCGTTTTACTTAGACCATATTTTGAAGGGACCCTAACAAGCCTGACAAGTGTATTTCTGAAAGAACTGATCACAGAGACGAGAATAACCATGTTTTGTTTGGACATGGATGAACTGGAGCCCTAGCAGCAATTCTTTGTAACTGACCCTCATGTGGATATTTCTTCAAGAGAGAAACAAACTCATTTTTTGCAAATGTTTCCTTACTATATACTTCATTAAGTGGCTTCCAGTTCCTTGTACCCTAACACTATGCAAACTAGATTATAAGGAAACAAAACTTACGAAGATAGCACTATGGCAACAGCATCATTGAGGACACTTTCACCAAAAAGGAGTGCATAGAGTTCCACATCGACTTGAAGCTCGTGGAAGATGGCAAGGACAGTCACTGGCAAGGTAGAAAGAGGCAGACGTTATAAATAGTACATAAATTCCCTCGACAGACAATGGCAATAGTTATTTGGAATTTCATTTCTTCCTCTTAGAAATAAAACCCAGTAAGCATTCCATTACCACATTAAAGATTTCGTAATTTTATATCCGTGTTTTTCTTGTCCCTAATCGTTGCTAGCTCCATTTCTTCTCTCTGAGGGACAGCTGGCAATGAGGCTTACATTCTCCATGCAAATGCTAACAATCCTCGTTGTTGTACATTTGTTTTCCCCGAATAAGAGATGAGGATTGCTTCCAGAAACAGGTAACCATTAATCTTGATGATGAACTATTTTCTGCTGAAAACTTTTATTTTTAACTTGGAACCTTATAACTCATCACTATCCGACTTGCAAATTTCAAGAACAGTTTAGCAGAGAGACAGTGGAAATGAGAACATACGTTTATAGCTAAAACACCAGGGAGCTTCAAGAAGTTTGTAGGAATGCAGACTTAAAAGATAATGGAATTTCCCGATGAACAGTTTGAAGCCCTGTCATCTATGGCCAGAATAACAGCTGCTATATTTACCATCATAAGAAGTCAACTTTCAGGTTAGTACACCATGAGTAGAAAAAATACAACCTCTCTGGAAAATTATTATACAAGGATCCTTTAAAAATCATGTGAGATGGACGTTACATTGTCACTTCAATTGCTGAGTTACATATAGCTCAAAAGATAATGCTCCCCAAATTGGGCAATGTTATCCCCTAGGGGGCACTGGAATGATCTGTTGGGCTGTGAAAGCAGATACCTGGATTATGGGTTATAGCACAAGCATTTTTAATTGCCTTTTTGTATAGGGGTATGGTAAGTTTTTTTTCTGAAAAGGGGGTGGTAGGCCAAATAAATCTGGGAACCTATGAGCTAAAAAAAACCCAACAACACAAAAGATTAATATAACCAGGGATAAAAGCACCTTCTCAAGAGCTAACTAAAAACAGATTTGAAAAGGTATACTTTCTCCCATAGAGCATTTCATCTAGAATATGCTGGTCCTGAAATCTATAAAGAGAAAGGGAAAAGGAAGATGGGAGCAGCACTGAAGAATTTTGAAAACAACTTACGCCTACCCTTGCCATAGAATTGGGACAAATGCCCACACAAGTAAAAAAAAATTTAACTGTATAATTTACAAAAGCAAAGGTTTGTACTTGAGCTATCCAGGCAATAGCACTCATTATTTCATTTCGCACGGGCTTTGCACAGAAAACCAAAACCACTGGCTCCTTGCAAAATCCAACCTGCTTTTATACTGCTAATACGAGCAGCTACAAACTTAGTGGGCAGTCTTTAAGGAAACATTCTGATCTAGTTTTTAAAAGGCCAAATTATATGCACGTCTAAACTGCATAAATGACTGATGTTTTAAAATCATCTCTTCTAGAATATAGGGCCCATTGTGCCTCCTTCCCATATTGCCTTACATTATTAACCAGGGAAGTCAGAGATCACCTGAGGAGCCTACAGTTAATTGCAGAAGTAGACAGTTCAAGATGATGACCATATAAGTTCAAAAGGTAAAAGAGGACAAACCTCTACCAAGATCATAAAGCAAATTAGAAGAAAACTTCCATTTATTTCCAAAACTAAATGTCTACGTTTCTTTGTTGAACCTTACACCTCTATCATCCTAAGTTTATTCTAAAATCCTAAATTTAACATAGCTGTTAAACTCACCAATAATATTTCAGGAAAATCAAACCTCACTCAATATAATTCTATTCATCTTATAACATGAGTTTTCAGAAGATTCGACACATTAAATGCACAAAGGGAACAACTGTGCTAATGGCAAAATAATTTTATAACCTTCAGTCCAATTCTATAAAAGCACTGAATTCATATATATCACAGTCCACCAATGACCCCAAATTAGTGTACACCCATGTTAGTACACAATTGTCTTGCACCACTCATTTCAAAACTGTTTTACTGCTAAATACAGGTAGCTGAAGGTAAACAGAAGGGTTTTAGGGCACTGGTTTTCTAGAAGCTTGAAAAAGAACCATTTAATTTCTCGATTTGAATTAATCTGGCTAATCTGCTATACTCAATCACTAGAGATAGAGACCAATCAAAATTCCAAAATAAAAGACCTTACAGCCCTTGCCAAAATACCATCAAACAATGTAGATCAGTAATAGGCATATGTAATAAACAGGTAAAAGACAAATCTCAGCATATGTATGCTTAAGCCAAAAGAAACTGTGACTCTTCCGTATTCTTTTCTAATTGCAAAGTACAGTTCTGTGGGAGGTACTTAATCACGAATTCTACATGCATATGCTTTTGACTGCAAAACATTGCACCCTAAGTATTTATATTCCCCTCTTGTGGAAAACATACCCGGATCAGTCGCTGAAACAATGGCACCAAACAGCAGGCAATCTGTGAAGTAAAAATCGCCTGCAAGCTGTCCAGTAACTTTCATCAGTGTTACACAGCCATACATTATTGACCTGTTGAAAGAAAATATTTCTACCTTAGGAAAACCACCATCTGCTACAGAAGAAGAAGGGGCTGATGTAGTACCACTAATGAAGTACCTTTGGGTTAATCTCAAATTTAATTCAGGCTGTTTGAATATGGTAAATATCTTGGCCTTCAGGAGCATTTAAAAAACTACCTAGGTGAATACACTCTTCTGCAAAAGTCCTCCAGACAGATCCGGGACTATATTACTGACCCAATCAATGCATATTTCAAAACACTAATTTCAAGGCTACAAAAGTATGCTAAGCTTCAAGTACTTACCCAATAACAAAACAAGAAATGGCTGTTCCAAGGAAAGCGTACGCTAGGATAGACCCAAGGTTTCGAAAGAAATGTCTCTGATTAAAAAAAAAAATTACACTGTGTTAGAATACTTATCAGTTATTTGGAAATGAAAAGCAGCTATGCTAATATTAAATGTATGATTCATTAAAGGAAATAAGTCAGAGGAAGCATTCATGTACAGGCATAAGTCTTCACATCTAAGAAGGATAAGCAGAAAAAAAGAAGGATAAGAAATTAAAACAAATGGAGGAGGGACGGGGCACCTGGTGTGTGTTTCTGAAGGGTCAAACCTAATAAAGCCCATGGAGTTCCAAGTGTATGGAATGCAACAGCACTTACCCTTTTCAGACTGTATCCTGCATAAAATATGATAGGAGGAAGTAATATGTTGAAAAATACTTCTGGATCGAAAGTAACCTGTTGAAATAAACAGAGTTCTTAGAGCAGGATTTCTTTAGAAGCACCCATTACATTACCAAATCAGCAAAAAAAAAAGGGGTGGGTGGGAGGAAAATACTGATCAAATGTAAGGATATCAATGTGTTAACACAAAAATATTTCGTATTTTTTGTGCAATTTTCATAGCTGTTGTCCTACTTCCCAGTCAAAATAACAAGGAGAGTGTTAGGATGCTGAATTAAGTTACATCTGTGGAAGGTTGTTTCAATACAATAGTAAAAATCTCTAAAAGAGAAGCAAGTACGAACATATCTTCTGCCCTTCAAATAAAGCCAGGACTTGAGACTGATAACATCAAATATGAGGCATGTGGCATTCTGGTTGATATGGAAAACAGACTTCTCTTGTATACGTGACAAGATAATATTATGGTAACAGTTCTACAGAAAACAGATTTCTAGTCCTGACAGCCTACTTACTTTAATTAGCTATAATACTGCTGATGTCCCAGTCTGTTCATGAGGCTGTGGTTAAATTTGACGTGAATACAAAGAAAGTACACATAGACCAATGCTATAGCTTTGTTTACTAGACAAACTGAAATTCTCTGCAGGGGAAAAGAACTCTTGCTACAAAGTAAAGTTTAAGTTTACAGGCAATTTTAAAACTTCCAAGATGGCCAGGAACATAACTAATATAGGCAGCAATGGAAGTAAACAGCTGAGGGGGCAGGAGGGGGGGTACAAAGTAGCACTGAGAAGCTTCATGACAGACACCATGAAGTGGGCAGGAGAAAGCACCTCCTGGAAATGTCTGGAAGCCACCCAACCTCTTATGTAAATCTTTATTGTATAGTATGATCCTGAAGTTGTGCCAAATTACAGATCAAAGAAAGCTTAAATTGTGTTCAGTACAAATTACAATCAAGGCAAAAAACAATTCATGTAAATATTAGTAGATGAAATAAATGGCATATTTAAGATATTATCTAATAAACTCAATGTGCTACAATGCTATTAAACAATAAAGATCATCTGCAAAATGAAGCAAACAATTAGGAATTTGGTTTACCTGATACTGTCCACCATTTATTACAAGAATATAAACAACACAGAGTGAAATAAAACAGGTCATAGCACTTAGCCTCCATCAGGAAATGAAATTTACAGACATGTCCATTTCTGTAGCATTACATTACATTCGTTGAGGTTTTACTTCATTTAAGAAGATTTGTTTTTAATATCATTAACAATTCATGATTTATTTTTCTTCTGAATTACTTTGCTGCAAGTTAAACACTTAAAAAATTGCCCAAATATTCCCTTTAACTAAGAACTTACCTTTCTAAGCATTTCATTATCTTGAACGTTATTGAGTTCATGCGAACTAATCTCTCCTTTCAGTGTATACTCATAAAATTTTCCACTAACGTTTACCAATAGGGTAGTTGGACTCGACGGCACTTCACAGCTCAAGGTCACATTATTTACATCGCTTGGAACATGAATGCCATATCGCAGCACAAGGCCCACCAAAAGACCTGGAAATAAAGGAAAATGTTAGATTCTCCTTGCAGACAGAGACTACTTTTGTACCCCATATACTTATCTTTAACTTGTAACAGCAACTTCTCAAGATAGTCCCTTGAGACTCGGAACCAAGTTTTAGACCAAATGTGGTTACATTATGGGCTATTTCTAAATTTACAAATCTGGGAGTCCAAATCTGTAGATGTCCAGTGGGAGAGGAGGGGAAATTGCACAGATGACCCCATTTCCAAATCGATACATAAGTGGTGAAGAGGGTAACAAAAGGAGAAACTATCCTCAAATGATCTGAGAACAGAAATTCCATACAATCCAGCAATCCTTGTGGTAGGTATATACTCTAAAGAAGAGCCATAACACAGACAGACATACGCACTCCCTTGTTAATCTCAACACTGTTCACAATAGCAAGAAGTTGGAAAGAGCCCAAATGCCCATCAGCAGAAAAATGGCTAAAGAAACTTGACACATATACACAATGGAATAATCGCTAAAAAGCAATGCTGAAACCACGAAGAACCTCAGGACGTGGTCGGACCCGGAAAACATTATGATGGGTGAGGTTAATTAGTCATAAAAGAGCAAATATTGTATGAGACCACTACTATCAGGATAGAAGCCAAGCTAGACGTGCATACTGAAAGGGACACTTTGGAGGATCCCCAAGGCAATAGAGTGGGTAAGGGTGGGAAGATGAAGTGAGGGACTAAAAAGCTGGCAGGTACTGACTTTGGTGAAAGTGAGGATAGAGATCCATTAAGAGGGAGAAGAGAAATCTGGGAGGAAGGTTGGGATAAAATTTGGGACAGAGGGTTTGAACTTTTTTTTTTTAATCATTTTATTAGGAACTCGTACAACACTTATCATATATATATATATATATATACATATATACATCCATCCATTGTGTCAAGCACATTTGTTGCCATCATCATTCTCAAATCATTTGCTTTCTACTTGAGCCTTTGGTATCAGCTCATTTTTTCCGCTCCCTACCCACTCCACCCTCCCTCATGAACCCTTGATAATTTATAAATTATTTTGTCATATTTTATACTGTCCAACGTCTCCTTTCACCCACTTTTCTGTTGTCCTTCCCCCAGGGAGGAGGTTATATGTAGATCCTTGTAATCGCTTCCCCCTTTCTACCCCACCTTCCCTCCACCCTCCTGGTATTGCCACTCTCACCACTGTTCCTGAGGGATTCATCTATCCTGGATTCCCTGTGTTTCCAGTTCCTATCTGCACCAGTGGTCTAGCTGGATTTATAAGGTAGAATTGGGATCATGATAGTGGGGTGGGGAGGAAGCATTTAAGAACTAGTGGAAAGTTGTATGTTTCATCGTTGCTACATTGAACCCCGACTGGCTCGTCTCCTCCCTGCGACCCTTCTGTAAGGTACTGTCCAGGTACCTACGGATGGGCTTTGGGTCCCCAATCTGCACTCCCCCTCATTCACAATGATAAGATTTTTTTGTTCCTTGATGCCTGATACCTGATCCCTTCAACAATTTGTGATCACATAGGCTGGTGTTTCTTCTATGTGGGCTTTGTTGCTTCTGAGCTAGATGGCCGCTTGTTTACCTTCAAGCTTTTAAGACCCCAGACACTATATCCTTTGATAGCTGGGCACTATCAGCTTTCTTCACCACATTTGCCCATGCACCCATCTATCCTCAGCGATCATATCAGGAAGGTGAGCACACAGTGATATGATTTTTTTCTCCTTTGATGCCTGAAACCTGATCCGTTGAGTTGGAACTGTTGAATGCAGAGTTGATGGCCTGAAATGTAAATCCACACACACACACACACACACACACAACTCACAATAAAAAATTCATCAAAAACAAAATAAGGCCTCCCCTTCAAGAAGCACAAAGTCCAGTAAGGAAAGAAATCGAATAAAGTTATAATGCAATATATATGTATATAAGGTGTTTTTTTAAAAAAGGTACCTAATCAAGGGTGAGACACGAAGGAACTCTTTCCAGAGGTGTCACCTGAGCAAATCACAAAGTAGAAGCAAAGGTATTCCAGGTAGGAGAAAGGTAGTACATACATATCTAGTCCATAAAGTGTGAGAACATAATCTAATCAGGGGACCACAAGTAGTTAGAAGGCATGGCTCCAAAGGTACAGGTGAAAAGTGAAAAGAGTTGAAATTAGAAATATCTGCAAGGGCTAAATCATAAATGACTTTGAATGTTGAAGAAGGCAGTTGGGATTTAAACCTGAAGGTAACAGGAAGTCGTGGATAAATAATTAGTAAGGGCTTGATATCAGATTTTTATTTTGGAAGCATTACTTGAGACTGTCGTAAGGTGCATTTGAGTCCATTCTAAGTCCTAACACCACCCCTAGAGGAAAGAGTAAACCTCCCTGTACAATTTCCAAGACTACGATCTTTATGGTAGCAGACTGCCACATCTCTCTCAGCTGTGGATTCAAACTGCTGACCCTCTTTTGGTTAGCGGCTAAACCAGAGAGAAGATCACTATTGGCTTTCAAGTAAGAAGAGCTGAGGGTCTAATCTAAGGGATGGGTAATGGGAAGAGGGAGAGAAAGAGAGAGAGAGAGAGCTGAATTCAAGGGTTTCTAGAAAGTATTATGTAGAGTTCTCATATGTAATGGTTCTCAACCTGTGGGTCCCAACCCCTTTGGGGGTCGAACGACCCTTTCACAGTGGTTGCCTGATTCATAACAGTAGCAAAATTACAGTTATGAAGTAGCAACGAAAATAATTTGATGGTTGGAGGGTCACCACAACATGAGCAACAATATTAAAGGATTGCGGCATTAGGAAGGTTGAGAACCACTGATGTAGAGGATTTGGTAATTGGATAGACTTGGAGCAAAAAGGACAAAAAAATAAGGGGAGTCTAAATTGACTTGGCCACTGCAGGGGTGGTGAATTATTTAATGTGGCTCTTCTAGTCTATAATTCCCACCAAACAGCCCTTTATGAATGGGTCTGGTTAAGCAGGTAAGGGAAGACACAGAGATTCACCTGTGAATAACTGTGAACAAAACTGATTGGCATGCCATCCTGCTGGGTATAAAATAAGCCCTCTGAGAAGGAGGGAGAATCTCATTATCAGCAAGAGCCATAAGTGGACCAGGTCCTCTGGACCTCAAGATTCCAGTGCAATGAACCAGGATCCTGGATCCAGAAGTCAGCTATGATATCAGAGGAGCAGTAGCAGCAACAGCAGAACCAGGAACCACAGCATGAAATTGAGTGGTGGGCTCCCCAGTCTTCAGAGCAAGAAAAGCTGAGTGCCTTGGGGCAGGAAACTGGCTTGTGGAATGGGGTATCTCTGGACACTTAACTGTGGGGGCTGGATTTGCTGACCCAGCAAAGTGAGGCTTTAGTGTCTTTGGGCTGAAGCTTACTGGAGTAGGTGCCTCTGGGCACTTAACTTGGGGATCTAGGTTAGCTGCCTCCAAAGCTTAAGGTGAACACCTTTGGACATTTGTTAGTATCCCTGAAGAAAGAGCCTTGGGACATGTCCTGATGAACAACTATATCCTGAGCATTGGAACATGTTAACTTCTTTAATAAACCCTTTAATCTTGATTGTCTGTGTCCTGGTAGCTATTGCAATGGATTATACAATTTAGATTAAAAAGGGAGAGAATAGTGTTGGAAACAGAACACCACAGCAACTAGTTGGACAAGTCGGCCTGAGCACCTAGGGGAACAGCAGTACCAGAATACGGGTAGAAGAATCAGCCAGCAGGGAAAGGCTAAGTTCAGTTGTGGACATGTTGAGTTGGATGTACCTGTGACACATGCACAGATGAGTAAGTAAAATCTGGATCTCAAGAAGAGGGAGTCTCCAATATAGAGAGAAACTTGGCTGTCAAAGCTGGACGAAGTCAGATTTAGCTGAGATTACCTGGGAAACAAATAAAACTATAAGCAAGGGGGAAAAAAAGACTATAGCCTAGGATCATGCCCATGAATAGGTAATCTTAAGGGACTGGGAAGAGGAGGAAAAATGAATGAAGGCATCTAAAATGGGAAAAGCAAAGGGGGTGGGGGGCACTAGTAGTGGTAAAGCATTCAAGATGCCAAGGAAAATGTCAAATGCTATAGCAAAGTGGAATAAGACAGGCATTAAGAAGTATCCATTGGGTGTGCAAACAAGGGGTCATTGATAATATATTAAGAGCAAGTTCAGTGGAGTAGTTGAGAGTAGAAGCCAGACTAGACTGTTAGGTACCATTGAGTCAGTTCCAACTCATAGCAACCCTCTGTACAAGAGAAGGACACACTGCCTGGTCCTGCAAAATTCTCACAATTGCTATGCTTGAGCCCACTGCTGCAGCCACTGTGTCAATATACCTTGTTGAGTGTCTTTGTTTTTTTCACTGACCTACTTTACCAAGCATGATCTTTTTCAGGGACTGGTCTCACCTGATAACATGTCCAAAGTGCATGAAACCAGATCGGTAAGTGATGACACAGAAACCAAACTCATCATCGAGTCGACTTCTGTCTCATAGTGACCCTATGGAACAGAGGAGAGCTACCACTGTGGAGTCTGAGGTTTTAAACCTTTATGGGAGCAAAAAGCCTCATCTTTCTCCCAATGAGCAGCTGGTGGGTTCGAACTGCTGGCCTTACGGTTAGCAGTTCATGCGTAACCCTCTACACTACCAGGGCTCCTCTAAAGCAAAAACAGAGAGGTACAAAAGTAGCAGTTGGCTGGTAAGGGAGGAAGGAATGACATCCTTTTAGGCAACTTACATGCACATTTTGAAAAAGTGATTAGCAATTAACTAGTAAACAGTATAATGACATCAATTTTTTAGAAGTGTTAACAAATATTGCTATTTACACGGAATCCAAGATACTCTCTGAAAGTATCTCACCTCAAAAACAAATGCTCCAAACAAAATAAAAACTTGACTGTGAGGTATCAACTGAGTTTGGGCATAACCCAGAAAAGGCTATGGACCAACAAACAAAGAAAGATGGCTCTTT